CCGAGCCGGGCGTCACCGTCGGCATCTGGTGAGCGGAGCAGCCCCAGCGTCCCGGGTGGGCACAGCTAAACCGGGATACGCTGGGATAACCTCGCTCTGGCTCCCCGCAGGCATACGGTGCCGGGTAGCAGAGGGGCCGAGGCGTGGGGCAAGGACCGGCGCTGGTACGAGGAGGCGCTTGCCGATGCTCACCCCGTGATCATCTACCTGCACGGCAATGGGGGCACCAGGTGAGGACCCGTGGGTACCACAAACTCAGGGCAGCCGCCGGGGCCGCTGCGGCTGTTTCTGACCCTGAGAATTGAGGGAAGTCCCTTTGAGTTAAAGGGAAATGTCCAAACCCATCCCAAAACATCCAGCTTTCCCCTCCTTGGGGAAAGGTCACCCTGGTCTGTCTCGTGGGTCGGTGCTGGGCAGGGGGATCTCCTCGAGGGTCCCTCCCCAAGCTCAAACCTCGCTTTCCCCATCAGGGCTGCGAGCCACCGCGTCCAGTTCTTGAAGGTAAGCGGTCCCCTGCAAGGACACTGGGACCTGCCAGGGGCAAGGCTCGCCCTGGCTCTGGGGACCCAAATGGGGGGACAGAGTGAGCCTGGGGGACACTGGGGGTGCTCCCCCGGCGCAGCACATGACACGGTGCCGCTCCTTCAACAGACAATGGGTGCTGCTGACTTCCACATCCTGGCTCTCGACTACAGAGGTAAAGTCACCTCTCCCTGAGTGACCCCTGCCCTGGGGGCCGGTGTCCCAACCTGGGTTGTGACACCATGTCCCCCACAGGCTACGGTGACTCCAGTGGGCACCCCACAGAGAGCGGCTTCACCACCGATGTCCTGGCACTCTACGACTGGGCCAAAGCACGGAGCGGGAACAGCAGCATCCTCTTCTGGGGACACTCCTTGGGGACAGGGTAGGCGCGGGGCCGGGGGACGCTGACGCAGGAGGCCACAGCCAGCCCTGGGGGTGTGACGCCGCTGGCCTTTTTCCGGGGATGGGCCGAGGGGTTGGAGCGGCTCCTTGGTGGAGGCACTCGCAGAGCAACACCCAGGCAGGCAAGGGGGGGGGTCTGAGGGTGCTGTGCACCCTCTGCGAGGGTGCTCACTGTCCCTTCTCACAGGATTGCCACCAACGCGGCAAGGAAACTGCAGGAGGAGCGAGGTAAGGGCCAGCATGGCTGCGTTGATCCCATGCGGTGCACACCCCCCTCCCCCTTCCCCAGTCAGATTTTGGGGGCTGCAGAGCTCTTGGCTCAAGCATCACGCTCAGCCCCACGGCGGGGACAAGCGACTGTCCCCATCCACACCGGGATGGAGCATCTTGGCCCCATCCATGGCTGCTGCCTGGGATGGGAGGTGGGCAGCAGCCTGGGGAGGGGATGGCCCCCCCGAGTCATGCCTGCTCCCTCCCTCCCTCTTCTCTCAGGAGTCCAGGTTGATGCTGTGGTCCTGGAATCACCCTACACCAACATCCGTGAGGCGGCTGCCCACGTCCCCATCACCAAGGTGAGCCTGGGGGTTCTGCCCATGGGGACACCCCCGGCCCCGGGGCAGGAGAAGGGTGCAGCAATCAAAGCCACGACTCAGCACCCCCCCAACTCTCTCCCGGCAGATCTACCGCCAGTTCCCGGGTTTCACATACCTCATCCTGGACTCGCTGGCTCTGGGCAACATGTTCTTCCGCAGCGATGAGAAGTGAGTGCCTGGAGGGATGGGGCGCAGCATCCTGGTGGGGCTGTGGGATGATGCTGGGACCACCTGGCCGAGGAGGAGCGGGTTGGGCGCATCACACCGTGCCATCTCTGTGGGGCTCTCTGCCCTCTTATTTGTGTTTGCCCAGGTTACTCATGCTTTAAAAGTGGGTTTTTTTTTATTTGCATAACTGCAGATATCAGTATCGCTGTTGAGCAAAGTCCGTGAGCCACCATCCTTTTTTGGGCACTGTGGGCTTGTCCCACCCGCATTACAACACTCACCCCCCACAGGAGCCTTTGCTAAAAGGCACCTGGTTCACGGATACTTCTGAAGCCTGAGCACACCCCCCGTGTCGGGGGTTTAAGGTTACTGGGGTGCCGGGTGCTGCCCTGCCAGAGCAGCGTGGGCATCACCCCGGGGCAGTTCAGCCGGTGGGCTGGCTCGGAAGGGCAGTGCCTGCAGCAGTTCAGGGTTGCTGGAGGTGGGGTTAGCAGGGGCTGGGGAAGCTCCCATGGGTCTGTCAGCTGTGGGGTGACTCCTCGGTGCTGTGCTTGCTGCCTGCAGCGTGAAGGTGCTGGGCTGCCCGCTCCTCATCCTGCACGCCGAAGATGACGCGGTGCTGCCTTCGGACCAGGGTCGCAAGGTGGGGACCACCATCGCCTCCGCGTGGGCTTTGATGGGGGTGGGCACCGTTTGAGCCTGGTTTTGGGGAGGGGCTGAAGTGGCTGGAAAGGGGGTAGCCTGGCCCCAGGGTGCCAGGAGGGGGGTTGGGGTCTCCTGCGCGTGCCACTAACGGCGCTCCCGCCCGACGGCAGCTCTTCGAGATGGCACACGGCGCCTACAAGGCTAAAAC